GCTCCGTTTGAGGTAGGAGAAAAGCGCCTTAGGAGTGTTTCTAGAAAGTGTGGCTAGAGAGAGTTCATATTGTTGATGTTTCTCACGTTTTTGCAGGGTACAGGTATTCCTAACCGTTTTGTAACTGATGTAGTAATGCTCTGACTGTGTGATCCTAAAGCGGTCCCACAACTTACGTCTTCTGTACATTAGGGATCTCAGATCACGATCGATCCATGGAGGGCCTCTAGAGAGCGGTCGCTTTTTGGAAATGGGGACAACTTGTTCAATGAGTGATGTCAGCTTAGAGTACAGAAGATTTCAGGCACCATCCACATTGTGATGTTCAGGAATATACCAATCCATACTGCTTGCAGCCGTTTTAAGACGAAGGGCATCGGTACGCCAGAAATTTCGGCGAACGGCACATGAGTTGTGAACGGTAAAGTGACGAGTCCATTGGAATAAAATAGCACAATGATCGCTTTTACCAATAGGTTGGAAGACTGTTAGGTCCATGACGTCTGACTGCGCTGGGGAGAGCACAAGATCCAGGGTATGAGGCGACAGGCCGGCGAGAATGCGAGTCGGCATGGACACATGTTGATACAGGCTGCAGTCGAGAATGGTATCAAGGAAAGGGGCATCAAAGGAATCAGGTGGACGATTGCAAAGAAAGAGGTCCCAGTCGATATTAGGAGCATTGAAATCTCCCAAAGTAAGACAATCCTTTCCAGCACCGTGCTTCTTGATCAGTTCCAACAGGCGAGCTCCCGCGCCCAGTGGCGCTCTATAGATGACACCAATCAAAGATCTGCACCCGTCATGAATGCGACACCAAAGGGCATCAAAATCGCTGTCATTGTCACATGAGACCTCAACTAGATGGGACTTCAAATCCGCTCTCCAGTATAGTATTATGCCGCCTCCCGACTTCCTCCCATGTCGATCGGCCCGAGAAAGGTGGTATCCAGGGATAGATACTTCAGAGTCAATGATGTCAGGGAATAACCATGTTTCAGTGAAGGCCATTAAATCAGGACAAACATCTGCGGCAAGCGTCTGGATCTCATCAAGTTTATTTCGCAGACTACGAACATTAGCGAACAGCACACGCAGTCCGTTCTTTTGCGTTACTGTCCTGGGGTGAGAAAAATCGGCCTCCAACGGGTTCTTGGAGTTTTCCGAACTACGCGAAAATCCACGATATGAAGGTCCGTTTCACCATTCGCCCGACGGGTCCTCAGCTCATCAACGGCTTTTTCATTTTGATCCGATCTTCCGGGGAGAGATCTCTCAACACATAAAACGGCTTGCCTTTGAGCCGTGAGGTCCGTAGGAGAATGCGTCGACATTCTTCCTCGTTTTGGAACACAACCTTTAGAGGGCGAGGCTTGAGGGAATCTTCTTGTTTCTTACCTAAGCGGAAAGCCGAGATAATGTTGATTCCCTGTTCGCCTTCGTCGAATAACACAGAGATAAGTCGTTCTAGGAACACTTGGTCGTCTAACATCCTTCCGGCTGGGCATCTGGACGATTCAGGCGCACTCATAATGAGGAGACACCGGTCACGGGAGGGTGGTAGGGTACGCCTGGTGGTTTACGGTTGGGAAGGTTTTGCGCTGTCTTTGATCAGCGATTCCAAATGGTTAATCTTGTCAAGGACAGATTTGAACTGCGACTGAGGGGAGGAAGTCTTGGATTTAGACTTCGACTTAGTCTTAGCGTCATACATATCACCAGATGCGGGGGTAGTTTCCTTTACAACCGATGCGTATGTCTTTGTCTTTGGCTCACTGTGATGGACGTATTCCAACGGCTGGGGGAAAGAGTCAGACCGCCCGCGACTTCGTTTACCTGTGGAAGAGGTTGGTGTGGAGGCAGAAGGGTGAGAATGCGGAGTAATTAGGGGAATCAGGGTTTCGGGAGCCTTGGGTGTCATAGGAATGGGATGAGGGCTGGTCGAGGAAAGCCCATTCGCGAGACGTCTGTTGTTTAAGGAACTACGGCAGACATCACAAAAGAATACAATGGCTGGAGAAGTCATCAGCTGTAGTGCTTCATACTGATCAGGACCGATGCCACAGGAAGCAATATGGATCCAGCTGTCACATCCAGAGCACTGTACGGCTTTTGAAAGAGAAGTCACTCCTTTAGCGCAAGACAAACATTTGGACGCCATAGGAGATGTAGTCCAAATATGTCGCGATTCTCCGGAAACAATCTAGAATCGCTTTTCTTCACTAAAAAGACTTCAGTGGACGGGAATGCTCAGTGGGACGTCGCTATTCGCAGAGCGCGACAGTGTGATTTCGGTACACACGGTTGTAGGTGGTAGGAGGTAAATTTGGAGCCATTGAACGCATGGTAATGTTTATTAATAATTTAGAATGCTTGATGAAATGCTAATACCTCAATTAGTAATCAATATAATTAAGGGTTTAAATGCGTTACGATGGTGAATCATATTTCCGCTTCACGCGTAGCAGCCATGGTGGATGACGCGTTTGTATTCCGACGTATACTTAAGGGTCCTTATCTGGACTTCACATCTGTGAAAGAGGATCTAAAACTGTTTCAGATTGAAACGGCAACATCGTTTATTCCTCGGAACGTTATAACTGCGAAGGCGCACCAAAGGGAGACTGGACAGGTGCTACCGGAAGGATGCCCGTACCTGTATATTCCGTTTGTATGTGTGCATCGGAAGCGCAGCTATGTTAGTGGAAAGCGGTAAGTGCATGGTATCTGCCTGATGAGTAGATTACTATAGGTACCGCTGTTACAATTGCCCTGCTCGCTTTTCTGTGACGTTTAAGGGCGAATGCTACGAGATTGGGAATGCGTTTCTGTGGCATTAGCGCAGTTTTCACGTTTGAAAGTCCTTGCTGTATGTGAGAAATCGGAGGCTAACTGGAGACCAGGAACGCATGGTGCTGAACTTAATAAAAACGTTTCGTCGGACCAAGGAGATGAGTGCATTTGTGCGGCAGCAATATAACATTCGTTTACCAAGGTGCGATTTGTATGACATACGGCGGCGTCATCGTAACGTTTGTGTCACCGAGGTGCAGGGTGTAACACAGCTGTTGCAAAGAAATGTTAAGGTTAAAATTATGCACGAGGGGGATGAGATTCGGTACCTGATTTTCGTCCCTTCGCGCATGCTGGATTACTCACAGTCTGTGGGTGAGCTCTCTTCTCTGTGTGCAGAACATCTAGACGCCGTTGGTGTTGAGGGTGTGAGAGTTATCATCATGCTGAGGGGTGGTTGTACGGAGGGCTGGAGACGTTGGGTCAGTTTTTGTATAGGGTAAAGTAGAGATGAAAAAGAAGGGACTTTTGGGGGGGGGGGGGGGGGGGGGGGGGGGGGGGGGGGGGGGGGGGGGGGGGGGGGGGGGGGGGGGGGGGGGGGGGGGGGGGGGGGGGGGGGGGGGGGGGGGGGGGGGGGGGGGGGGGGGGGGGGGGGGGGGGGGGGGGGGGGGGGGGGGGGGGGGGGGGGGGGGGGGGGGGGGGGGGGGGGGGGGGGGGGGGGGGGGGGGGGGGGGGGGGGGGGGGGGGGGGGGGGGGGGGGGGGGGGGGGGGGGGGGGGGGGGGGGGGGGGGGGGGGGGGGGGGGGGGGGGGGGGGGGGGGGGGGGGGGGGGGGGGGGGGGGGGGGGGGGGGGGGGGGGGGGGGGGGGGGGGGGGGGGGGGGGGGGGGGGGGGGGGGGGGGGGGGGGGGGGGGGGGGGGGGGGGGGGGGGGGGGGGGGGGGGGGGGGGGGGGGGGGGGGGGGGGGGGGGGGGGGGGGGGGGGGGGGGGGGGGGGGGGGGGGGGGGGGGGGGGGGGGGGGGGGGGGGGGGGGGGGGGGGGGGGGGGGGGGGGGGGGGGGGGGGGGGGGGGGGGGGGGGGGGGGGGGGGGGGGGGGGGGGGGGGGGGGGGGGGGGGGGGGGGGGGGGGGGGGGGGGGGGGGGGGGGGGGGGGGGGGGGGGGGGGGGGGGGGGGGGGGGGGGGGGGGGGGGGGGGGGGGGGGGGGGGGGGGGGGGGGGGGGGGGGGGGGGGGGGGGGGGGGGGGGGGGGGGGGGGGGGGGGGGGGGGGGGGGGGGGGGGGGGGGGGGGGGGGGGGGGGGGGGGGGGGGGGGGGGGGGGGGGGGGGGGGGGGGGGGGGGGGGGGGGGGGGGGGGGGGGGGGGGGGGGGGGGGGGGGGGGGGGGGGGGGGGGGGGGGGGGGGGGGGGGGGGGGGGGGGGGGGGGGGGGGGGGGGGGGGGGGGGGGGGGGGGGGGGGGGGGGGGGGGGGGGGGGGGGGGGGGGGGGGGGGGGGGGGGGGGGGGGGGGGGGGGGGGGGGGGGGGGGGGGGGGGGGGGGGGGGGGGGGGGGGGGGGGGGGGGGGGGGGGGGGGGGGGGGGGGGGGGGGGGGGGGGGGGGGGGGGGGGGGGGGGGGGGGGGGGGGGGGGGGGGGGGGGGGGGGGGGGGGGGGGGGGGGGGGGGGGGGGGGGGGGGGGGGGGGGGGGGGGGGGGGGGGGGGGGGGGGGGGGGGGGGGGGGGGGGGGGGGGGGGGGGGGGGGGGGGGGGGGGGGGGGGGGGGGGGGGGGGGGGGGGGGGGGGGGGGGGGGGGGGGGGGGGGGGGGGGGGGGGGGGGGGGGGGGGGGGGGGGGGGGGGGGGGGGGGGGGGGGGGGGGGGGGGGGGGGGGGGGGGGGGGGGGGGGGGGGGGGGGGGGGGGGGGGGGGGGGGGGGGGGGGGGGGGGGGGGGGGGGGGGGGGGGGGGGGGGGGGGGGGGGGGGGGGGGGGGGGGGGGGGGGGGGGGGGGGGGGGGGGGGGGGGGGGGGGGGGGGGGGGGGGGGGGGGGGGGGGGGGGGGGGGGGGGGGGGGGGGGGGGGGGGGGGGGGGGGGGGGGGGGGGGGGGGGGGGGGGGGGGGGGGGGGGGGGGGGGGGGGGGGGGGGGGGGGGGGGGGGGGGGGGGGGGGGGGGGGGGGGGGGGGGGGGGGGGGGGGGGGGGGGGGGGGGGGGGGGGGGGGGGGGGGGGGGGGGGGGGGGGGGGGGGGGGGGGGGGGGGGGGGGGGGGGGGGGGGGGGGGGGGGGGGGGGGGGGGGGGGGGGGGGGGGGGGGGGGGGGGGGGGGGGGGGGGGGGGGGGGGGGGGGGGGGGGGGGGGGGGGGGGGGGGGGGGGGGGGGGGGGGGGGGGGGGGGGGGGGGGGGGGGGGGGGGGGGGGGGGGGGGGGGGGGGGGGGGGTGGGGGGGGGGGGGGGGGGGGGGGGGGGGGGGGGGGGGGGGGGGGGGGGGGGGGGGGGGGGGGGGGGGGGGGGGGGGGGGGGGGGGGGGGGGGGGGGGGGGGGGGGGGGGGGGGGGGGGGGGGGGGGGGGGGGGGGGGGGGGGGGGGGGGGTGTGGGGGGTGGGGGGGGGGGGGGGGGGGGGGGCGGTGGGGGGGGGTGGGGGGTGGTGGGGGGGGGGGTGGGTGGGGGGCGGGGGGGGGTGGGGTGGGGGGTGGGTTGGGTGGGGGGGGGGGGGGGGGGGTGGAGGTGGGGGGCGTGTGGGGGGGTGTGTGTTTGGTGGGTCTGTGATGAGATTCTTGGTTTGAAGGTAGTGGGCTTTGGTGGTGGGGGTGGGGGGGTTGTGCTGCGTATTTTAGTCTTTAGGTTGTGAGTGTTTGGGGTTTGTTTTTTCTCCGCTTTTTAGTTTTGTTTTTTTTTTTCTGACGAGAGAGTATTATCACGCAACATGATTGGTAGTAGTTCTAGACAGTGAGGTGGATGTTGTGTGTAACTGATACACTTGTGCCAGTGAGTGAAGTCGAGAATCAAAGTGTACTAAAGAACGCTAACAAATATACGCTCGCATAGCCATCAGACACATAATCCCGCTTCCCGGCCCACCGGAAGGATTACGCCATAGAGAAAGTCCAATGAAGCTTCATAGTCCATGGCGGACGCATGTCTTCAGCCATCCTAGACCAGACCCCTGTTGTTTTTTGGCACCCTCCTAACGAACATTAGAGTGAGCACTTCCCCTGACTTTACAATTACATTTACCCCACGCTTCGCGTACCTTCATCTTACTACAGTTATGATATACTCACAATAGTATCCCTCGTGACCGCCATCAAACCAGCCATGTATAGAGTATACTGCGCCAATGACATTTGCGCCGAAGAACAATCATAAGCCGCAGAAGAATAAATCCCCCCATCCGAGGCCTTCCACTCCCCCCAATCTAAACCACCCCGACCACCCACCGCCGCTTCCGGCTCCTAGTGTCGGATGAGACAGACCTCATCAGCACACACTCCCACGGCCACACCCAACCCGCGGGCCCCCCGCCCCCCTCTCGACCACACCGCCGCCCCTCCCGCCCCCGCCCCCCCCCCCCCCCACCTACCTCCTAAGTTGCCACCCCCCCCCCCCCCCTCACCCCAAACGCCCCCCCCCGCCGCCGCCCTCCTCACGTCCCATACCGGGGGGAGGGATGGTTGGTGGGGTTAGGTGGAGATGGTGTGGGGGGGGGGGGGGGGGGGGGGGGGGGGGGGGGGGGGGGGGGGGGGGGTGGGGGGGGGGGGGGGGGGGGGGGGGGGGGGGGGGGGGGGGGGGGGGGTGGGGGGGGTGGGGGGGGGGGGGGGGGGGGGGTGGGGGGGGGGGGGGGGGGGGGGGGGGGGGGGGGGGGGGGGGGGGGGGGGGGGGGGGGGGGGGGGGGGGGGGGGGGGGGGGGGGGGGGGTGGGGGGGGGGGGGGGGGGGGGGGGGGGGGGGGGGGGGGGGGGGGGGGGGGGGGGGGGGGGGGGGGGGGGGGGGGGGGGGGGGGGTGGGGGGGGGGGGGGGGGGGGGGGGGGGGGGGGGGGGGGGGGGGGGTGGGGGGGGGGGGGGGGGGGGGGGGGGGGGGGGGGGGGGGGGGGTGGGGGGTGGGGTGGGGGGGGGGGGGGTGGGGGGGGGGGGGGGGGGGGGGGGGGGTGGGGGGGGGGGGGTGTGGGGGGGGCGGGGTTGGTGGGGGGAGGGGGGGGGGTGGTGGAGTGGGGGGGGGGGGGGGTGGGCGGGGGGGGGGGGGGTGGGGGGGGGGTGTGGGTTGGGGGGGGGGTGGGGGGGGGGTGGGGGAGTGTTGGGCGGGGTGTGTCGGACTGGACTATGTTTCTTGGGCGGTTTTTGTTGTCTTTTTGTAGTCTTTTTGGTTTTCTTTTACGGTTTGTGTTGTTTTACGGTTTTGTTTGGGTTTTGATTTTTTTATTTTGTGACTTTGATTTTCGGTTGCGTGCTTTTTTTTTATGGTTTTGGTTTCTTTTCCCTCTGTAGTTCTTGTTTCGTTTGGGCATTCATGCCTCTGTGCTTTGTTCGATTTTTGTTGTTGGATATGTGTTGTTTGTTTGAATTTTGCTTTTATTGGGTATTTTTTTTATTTTTTTTTGTATTATGTTTTGTTTTTTGTATTTTGTTATTGGTGGTTTGTTGAGTGTGCCGGTTTATATCTTTTATTTTATTTTTAACCTTAACATTTCTTTGCAACAGCTTTGCTGTTACCCCCTCGCA